GACAGCAATGAGGGAAGTGCCCTGGCTGGGAGGGTGGGGACTGGTGGAGTGGGAGGATGGGGACGGACTGAGTGCCCATGCAGCACGTAACCTGGTGGCCTGTGCCTTACCTGGTGCTACGCATGTGGCGCACAGCCCCTGCTGGTGTGGATCCTGGGCCATGTGTACCCTTTGGGGGCTTAGACGTTGGATAGTCCTGACCTATCTTACCCTTAACAAAATACTCCATGATGGAATTTCTGCATCTTTAGTTTGCCTTTTTAAATATGTAGGAAACTACATGCAAAAAGGCATGTTTCACAGTTGGTAGGGTCGGAAAGGACCTGAGCAGATCATCAAGTCCGACCCCCTGCCATGGCAGGAAAGGATGCTGGGGTCAAACGAGGAGGTCTAGCTTCCTTTTGAAGACCCCCAGGGTAGGGGCGAGCACCACTTCCATTGGAAGTTGGTTCCAGATCCTAGCCGCCCTGACTGTGAAGTAGTGCCTCCTGATATCTAGCCTGAATCTACTCTCAGTCAACCTATGGCGGTTATTCCTTGTTACTCCTGGTAGTGCTCAGGGGAACAGGGACTCTCCCATTCCAAGTTTATAGATGGCCACCAGATCCCCTCTCAACCTTCTCTTGTGGAGGCTGAACAAGAGGTCAGGTCCCGTAGCCTCTCCTCATAGGGTCTGCCCTGCTGCCCCCTGATCATGCGGGTGGCCCTCCTCTGGACCCTCTCGATGCTGTCCACATCCCTCCTGAAGTGCACCGCCCAGAACTGGACACACTACTCCAACTGCGGCCTGACCAGTGTCGCATAAAGGGGGAGGATCAAATCCTTGGACCTCCTAACGGGCAGGACATGGGTTCCAACAGCAGGGGCAGATTATGCCTTCCACATGTGGGATGTGGAGGAGCAGCAGCCTTACTTATGCTGGGAACTCTTGACACAGTCCAGCCCATGGCTGAGTTGATGTTGAAAGATTGCAGCATGGGATCATGTAATAAATACTGCATCATAATGCTTCTGGCATCTGAAAGAACCTTGCACAGGAAATCCTCATTCTGGTATTTCCCAACTTTTGAGTGCTTGACTTTGTAACCTTCAGAACATTCTTTTAAGGTATTTTTCTGGGTATAATGAACAAGTGAGAAGGGATGACGGAAAGCCTGAAATGCTTTCACCCTTCTATTAAAATTGCTGACAATTCTCCAATTTACCTGGCATTCCAAGCAATTTAAACACACAAAAGGAGGAATTAACACTTCTATAAAGGCTAATCTACAAAAGCATGGCAGTTCTAAACTAAAGCTTTCAGCATCCTGCATCCTCTACAAACAGGATACTGTGTAGTCTTGCAAAAAGAGTCCTCTTCTACCATATCAAAGTTTCCTAGGCTTTACAGTGATATTAAATGTCAAATCCAATTCTTCATGGTTACTCTATTATATCACAGCAGAAGCAGTTTGCAAAGCAATCTGCCTCCATGATGGGAGGAGAAATATTTTCTTAGAGATAACTTTGTAGAACATTGTGGAATTCTCTGAGAGCCTATACATCATTTAGTGTAATGCCACGGAATGAGTTAAGGGGTTTACAGCTTTAATTCTACAGTTACTAGATCCATGGGGTTTATTTTTCATGATTAACATTATTTCGTTGGATCTCAGCTGTGAAGTTTCTCACTTGTTTAATATATGCCATTTACACCATTTAATCTTGACTTGGCTTTAATGTAGTCACTATAAAATTGCACTTATTTCATCATGAGACCAAAACGTTAATGACTGAAGTTAAAGGCATAGGTATTTCTGATTGCAAAATAGTTATGAACAGTAATTAGCATGTGTGCTTGCTGGAACGGTTTCCCAGCTTGATTTCATGAGGCTGAAATGTTAACCCTTGAGAATCAGGATTTGTAGTAGAATTGCTTATGAAGTAGATGCTGCTCATGTACTGTGAGCTCAGTCTTTCCCCAAGTTACATCAGGGAACAGCCTGGTTGTTCATCACCCTCAGTATTGAAGCAGGTCATCAAGGTTTTGCCCACATGGTTATGTAGCATGCTTAGTGAGAGTCAGTAGCATAACTGAGGAGGGCAGGTCGCCACAGCTGGCAGCTGACTTTGTCACCACTGCCAGCAGTGCCCCGTGTTCCACAACTGCCAGGGCATGAAGTTGCCGTGTTACACCCCTTGCGAGCATCACTATCACACTCACCCCATCCAGCTAGTTCTCTATGCATAGACTGAACCTGGAAATGTGACGGTGAAGTTGCTTCAGGAGCACTCCCTGCAGTCACTCTAGCATTCCACAAGCAAGGGTCATGACATGGGGGATGAGGGAACACCCCCACAGAGTCACCACTGCATTTCTAGGCTTGGCATGTACAAGTGGGTACAATTGACAGGATGTACTCGAGTGTCCCCCATCATGAGTGCCATGGAAGCAATGTAGATGTGCTCCAAGTGTAACAGTGGTGACTACATTTTGCAAGGCTTGTTAGGTTTCCTGTTCAGCTCCACTGCACTGCCCATTTTCTACTGTCTAGAGAAAAGTCAAATAAATTATAACAAAACTAAATACATCAAGGAGAGAGATTCTACATGATAGGCTTTCAAACTCATCTCCGCATTGGGTGTCTTGGCAGTTTTATTACCCAAGGTCCTGGAAGCATTTAATAACAAGCCAAACTCCTTTCTGATTCATCAAAGCATTCAGACATATGTTTAAATCCTTGACTTCACAGAGGTTTATGTGTGTGCTTAAGTACTTTCCTGAATTGGGGAAGTAACAGAGGTTTCTAATAATGATCTGCAGTATCCTGTACTTTTAAATGATATGTATGTAAGTACATCTCACAAATTCGATGGTTTACATGCATAGGACTGGACATTCTATTTAATCCATAGAATCCTTCTCCACCCCCACATAGGCTCTCCCAAGGGTTGGTTATCCTGAGTTAATATTTATAAGGACATTCTGGCTCAGGATAGGAGATGCCTCGTGAGATAGTATGTAGCACTACAGAGAAGCACAGGCATCAGGACTTCTGCTGGGTTAGGAACAGAATTCAGAAATGCTGATGCTTGCCATGGTAACATCCTGCAGCTTTAATAACAATTACATCCATTGTATTCAATCTCTCCTTTAGACGGAGTCTTTTGCTTTGTGACTGCCAATCTGTCAGTCCGGTCTGACCAGCTCTGTAGCAGAAACGTTAAACAACAGAAACCCAAGTGGAAACAAAAGTGTTTCCACTGAGATATTTTTTTTTTTTTGGAAGTTACATGTAGCTGTCACTAAAAATAAATATGAATAATAGAAGGATTGCATCTCAGGCAAACCAGCTACAATTTAAACAACCTGTAACAAAACCTCACATTGCAAACTATGCATTTTTTGCCTGATAGGTAGTTCTGGGCACAGGTTACTGCCTCACTACCAACTCAGCATGACAACTGATGAAGACGATGCCTTATTCAGATGGATTGTTCTTCTTCCCCCCTTGTATGACCTCTCTTATTCTGTTAGCTTCTGGCTTTGTGGCCTAATTTGGAGAACAGGTTCAGGGTTTACCTCAGTACATGGGTAGCAATATTATAAAGATATGCATTTCTGAAATCAGATTCCCAGGTGTTTTTTGTGTTCTAATTTTCAAAAGTGCAAAGCACTCTCTGATTTCCTTTGAAATCAGTGGGAGATGCTGGGTGGTTGGCATTCTGAAAAGTTAGACTGTTCTAAATATGGTTCTAGGAGAGCAATATTAGGCACCTAATATTTCCTGGCCTACATTTTCTGAAAATAAAGCCTAGAAATTTTAAATGTACAGCCCAGGTCAATAAAAGTAGCAGAACCAAAATCACATTTTGTCATTTTTTTTAACTGTACTGGTACCAGTAAAATTTCAGATTGGAATAAGAAGTATTAATGAAAAATTGGAAAATTTTCATTTTCTGGCCAACTCCATATTTGCAAAACTCACTAGGTTTTCTGTTGATGGTGTCCATTTTGGCACAACCCTGATGAGGATCAAACTTTGATTTTTGTGATTAAATAAACTATGTCCTTGTTTTAAATCTTATAAATGCCCCTTCTATCAACCCACTGTACCATACACTATAAAACTCACTGTACATTTGCATACTAATTTGCATACTTACTTTATACACATTTCTTATCTTCTGGAAACAGAATAAGGAATGTGTTAGTATATTTAGTTTTTCATAGATTCATAGAATATTTTAGAAAAATTTTACAACATAAATTTATCTTGTACCCTTCTCTGATTGCCATTGTAACAAAAAGGGTCTGCTCCACTCCAAATCTTACTGAAGTCAGTGTAGGGTATCTGCTGACGTCCAGTGACTTTAATGTTCTTTGATAAGGCCCATGCTGAACTGATTTATATAAATATGTTGTTATTCTCTTCTCCATTAATATTAATATGAGGAAGACTAAGCCCTAGCAAGATACCAGCCCTATTTTCTATGATTCTTTTATGCTAGGAATATGTACTTTCTACTTCAATGCTGACCTTTCATACTTAATGGAAAGCTACTTGCTATGTTTTTAAGAATCCACTGAGGAAATAAGGTTATTTATATTTAGTCACACAGTCTTTTAACTTCACATGAATAAGAGGGTAGTTTTACCACTGTAATACATGTTTCAGACTGTAACTGTATAACTTAAAATAGCTAATTCTAATACCACCCAGTTTTCTTTTACTGTTGCTGAGATGACACCACTGTAAAGGACACTATATACATGAATGTTATAATGTAATATTTCTGCCCCTGAGAATGGTTATCCTAATTAACAAGCTTTCTTAAAAGGATAAACGATGAGAACTGTAAGTTAAGGTGTTTACACAAAAGGCTATTCTTACTGTTTTGCATTAAAAAGTACTTTATTACAGAATTTAAGAGAATTCCTCCATGCAATGGAATGTCCATTAGTGAAGGTTATTAATGTTACATTATGTAATAGTATGTGATCTTATTTGTGGCTTTACCTGACCCAGTAAAAGTGTCAAGCGATCCATCTCCAGTTGTTGTTGTTGTTTCACTGCTGTTCATGGGCTCTGTTTTGACTGCAAGAAGAGACACTACATAGAAGAATAAGTAGACATGAGATTTTATTTCTAATTTACACAAGAGACCTCATGCCAGTTTCACTAGTGGTAGCCCAGCTAGAATATGCATGCAACAGGAAAGTTTAGAACTTTATGAGAGTAACCTATCACTACATGGTCTGAAACACCTGTGCATTTGTTGATTTATTCATTTCTATGTTTTAATAACTGGTATGTTTTATCCAGATACATTTCAAGCCAAATTGAACTGATTCAAACAATTCCCTAAGACCAATGAAGAGGAAGGAAACATAGCTGTCAAGGTATGTAGTACATAACAGAAATAGTTATGCTTGACAAGTAAAACAGCATAATATGGTTTCATTCTTGTCTAGCAGTGACCTACTTTCACAGTGCCAGCTTCCCCTTCCCACCATTGTTTTTTTTTTCTAGCTCTGAGCTAGCCTGCATTGAACAACAGTGACCTAATCTCCCCAAATGAGTTAAAAAAGAACAAAACCTATAGGCATTACCCAGATGATAGCCATAAAAATTCAATTTCTAATTCATGTGGTAAAAAATAATGCTCCTGGTTATTAAAGGCTAAGCCGATGTAGGAAAATAAACTTATAGCAGAGTTGTATTTGCATTTAGAACAATCATACACGGAGGAAAGTGCTCTTATTTGCTCTTATTTGCAGATTTATTAGTTTCTGTAATATCTGTGGGTCTCACTCTCACTTAAATTAATGTGGCTTTACAGTATAAAGGTAAAGAATGGTGTAAAGAATGAGGTGAGCTAGAAAATAAACTTTTTAGTAAATGAGAAATAAGCATAAATGTAAATTGTAACTGAAAATCCAGACCTATCTCTTTTGTTATATGGGTGACATGTCATGTCTTGTAATGCTAAGATCAGCCTTTGGGGTTTTTAAAGTATACTAAGGGCTTACAATGGAAAACTGACTAAAAGAACTACTATACCCCTGTTTGTACAGGCTTATAAACAGCTTACCACAAAATAAAAGGCTATGAGACTTCATGGCATGTCAGACGTCTGGAATATCTGTGTGTATGCAAGCTCTTACCCCACAGTAAGTGGAAGCTAACCTGCAGTTATTTAGCTCTCTGTATAGGAAGACTGAGTTACCATGGTTCTTATCATGGGATAAGTGTGAATATACCAACAGAGTGGCTGACTTTCAGTAAAGCTAAACCCCTTTTTGTGCCATGATAATTTGTCCTTATGTCCTTGTGACTCCCCATATGTATTCTCTTATTATGGAATTATACTGGTATATGCTATAGTGATCAATTTCCCTGTGTAGATAATTACAATTAATTAACTGCCGTATAAAATTGTGCCTAACTTCTAGCCAAAGTCTTGGGTTGCTTTTATTTTAACAAGCTATTTTATTTTAACTGTCACATATTTACAATTATACACACCTATATTTATCCTACCTACAATGGATCTTTCATAGGAAAATAGATGAGTTGGATGAATGGAAGCAAAGCTATATAATATGCATGATGGTATATAGCATATAGCTAGGATTTGAGACATAGTGTATAAATTCAAATTTTACACAGGGATACTGGAAATTTCCTTTTGATTTTGATAAGGCAAGTCTTAATATGGATTGTGCATTTTACAGGGTGCTAACAAATAGAAAGCCTGACAATGCAGTGGTATTGGTTTGCTTCACAGGGGATGATTAGAGAAACAAGACAAAATGGTTTAACTCCTACAGCAGGTTCTTCCAATTGTTTAATGCCAAACTGTTGAACACTACTGGAAAATAGGGTCAAGGAATTAGCTCTTTACATGAATATAAAAGCATTGCTTGGGCATACAGGGATGAAGTCAGGAAGGCCAAAGCACAGTTGAAGTTGCAGCTAACAAGGGGTGTGAAGGGTAAGAAGAAGGGTTTCTACAAGTATGTTGGCAGAAAGAGGAGAATCAGGGAAAGTGTGGGGCCCTTATTGAATGGAGGAATCAACCTTGTGACAGAATGACAAAAAGGCTGAAGTGCTCAATGCCTTTTTTTGCCTCTGTCTTCACAGGCAAAGTCAGCTCCCAGACTACTGCACTGGGCAGCACAATTTGGGGAGGAGGTGAGCAGCCCACAGTGGTGAAAGAACAGGTTAGGGGCTATTTAGAAAGCTGGATGTTTACAAGTCCATGGGCCTGGATGGGATGCACCCAAGGGTGCTGAGGGAATTAGCTGATGTGATTGCACAGCCACTGGCTATGATCTTCGAAAAGTCATAGTGATCAGGAGAGGTCCTAGATGATTGGAAAAGGGCAAACATAGTGCCCATAATTAAGAAAAGGAAAAAGGAAGATCCAGGGAACTACAGACCAGTCAGCCTCACCTCAGTCCCTGGAAAAATCATGGAGCAGATCCTCAAGGAATCCATTTCTAAGCACTTGGAGGAGATACAGGTAATTAGGAACAGTCAGCATGTATTTACCAGGGGCAAGTCTTGCCTGACCAACCTGATTGTCTTCTATGAGAAGATGACTGGCTCTGTCGATGTGGGGAGACTAGTGGATACAGTAGACCTTGGTTTTAGCAAGTACAGTTTCCCACAACATTCTTGCAGGCAAGCTAAGGAAGTACAGGCTGGATGAATAGACTCTAAGGTGGGTAGAAAACTGGATGGAGCATCAGGCTCAGAGATTAGTAATCAATGGCTCAATGTCTAGTTGGCAGCTGGTATCAACTGGAGTGCCCCAGGAGTCAATCCTAGGGCCAGTTTTATTCAATGACTTCATCAAAGACCTGCAAGATGGCATAGAGGGCACCCTCAGCAAGTTTGCAGATGACACCAAGCTTGGGGGAGTAGCAAATACACTGGAGAGTAGGGCTGGGATTCAGAATGACCTAAACAAATTGGAGGATTGGGCCAAGAAGAATCTCATGAGTTTCAAGGACAAGTTCAAAGTCCTGCACTTAGGACAGAACAATCCCATGCACCAGTACAGGCTGGGGGATGACTGGCTGGGCAGCACCTTTGCAGTAAAGGACCTGGAGGTTACAGTGGACAATATGCTGAATATGAGCCAGCAGTGTGCCACTGTTGCCAAGAAAAGCTAACAGCATACTGAGCTGCATTGGTAGGTGTGTTGCCAGCAGGTCAAGGGAAGTGATTATTTCTCTCTATTCAGCACTGGTGAGGCCACATCTGGAGTACTGTGTCTAGTTTTAGGCACCCCACTACAGAAAGCATGTGGACAAATTGGAGAGAATCCAGTGGAGGGCAACAAAAACAGTGAGGAGGCTGGGGTACATGCCTTCTAAAGAAAGGCTGAGGGAACTGGGCTTATTTAGTTTGGAGAAGACAAGAGTGAGCGGGGATTTAACAGCAGCCTTCAACTACCTGAAGCAGGGTTCAAAAGAGGATGGAGCTAGATCGGGAGGGGGGCGGGGAATCTGGCCCAAGTGCCAGATCTAGCCAGCAGTGGACTCCATTTCTCAGTAGCCCCTGCCCACATGGATAGGGCAGTCTCCATAGAGATCCCAGCTCAGCTGAGCTGTGACAGTGCAAGGCTGGGGTTGCCATGGAGACCAGCCCCAGCCATGTTAGCAGGGTGCACAGCAGGGAAGGGGACTATTACGGAGCAGCTGTGATCTTGCAGTAGGGGCAGCTTGGTCGGGGGCCAGGGCAGAGCTATGATCTGCAGCCTGCCTGTTCCAGGCAGATCATGGCTCTGCCCTGGCTCCTTGCAGGAGTGACAGCCTGGTCTGGAGCAGGAGCAGTAAGTTGCGATCTGCAGCCTGCATATCCCTTTCCAAAGCGTGCAGGCTGCAGATTGTAGCTCTGCCCTGGGCCCAACCAAGCTGCCCCTGCTACAAGATCCCAGAGGCTCTGGAGCAACCCCCTGCCCCACCATGCACCCTGCCAGCGCACCTGGGGCTGGTCTCCATGGCAACCCATGGCACTGTGATAGCACTTGGGCTATCACAGTGCAGCCATGGCTGGGGTCTCCATGGAGACCGGCCCCACCCATGCAGGCAGGGGCTGCTTAGAAATGGAGCCTAGTTGCCAGCCAGATCTGCCATTTTGCCCATCCCTGAGCTAAACTATTCTCAGAGGTGGCAGGTGGCAGAACAAGGAACAACAGTTTCAAGTTGCAGAAAGGAAAGTTTAGGTTAGATATTAGGAAGAATTTTCTCACTAGGAGGGTAGTATAACACTGGAACAGGTTGCCCTGAGAGGTTGTGGACTCTCCATCCTTGGAGGTTTTCAAGACCTGGCTAGTCAAAGCCTTGGCTGGGATGATCTAGTTGGGGATTGTCCTGCTCTGAGCAGGAGGTTGGACTAGATGACCCCCTGAGGTCCCTTCCAACCCTCATTTTCTATTATTCTATGTAAAGATGCAGGAAAATGCCCCAAAGAAGGAACTCTTTCTGCAGGTGAGCAATTAAACTGCTCCACAGCACTATTGTTTTGAAGACTAAGTGAAAACTAATCAGCAAATTACATGCTACCTTTCATCATATCACTGTCTTGAGATGGTTTAGAAAGGAAGACAGGCTCAAACATTAATGTAGAAATTAACTTTTCTTGCACAAATACTAAGTATTTTTTTCAATGATGAAGCAAGTGAGAGAGCACATGAGAGATGTATGTCTAAACTGGAAGAATATCTGTTTATACCAAGCATCGTACAACTGAGAAATTACAGTAAGTTTTTGTCTAAAATATAAGAAGATCATATAAATATTATCTTCAGTGTTGCTAATGCTAATATAACCAAGAGGTATCTGTTACCAGTATGGTACAATTATGATGTCAAAAGAAAAAGCCCTCAGTTGTTTCACTGTGAATAGGATCAGGCCCTATATTTTTAAAAAGTATTTGAAAACTATTAAATTTAAAAACCACTTTAGTATGGGCTTAGCTTCTCTCCTGAATCAAGGTTTCAAAAGTGAGTTGAAAGGTATTTCCTAGAACTATGTATATTTCTACCTATTGCAATTTGCACTGTGCTTTCACAGGCGCACATATTTATCAATTTATCCTCCCACTGTTGCATGTGAAAAAGAAAAAAAAAATCTCCACTGTATTTAATAGGATAAAAATCCACCAGCTGTTACTACAGTTTGTCAAAAATACATATGGAAAATATCTTTTGATACAATCTTGATTTTAAACAGTTCTAATCTATCACTTGGAGATTATATCAGAGTAAGGAATTCATCAGGACTTATTTTTGGTGTGGCTAGACTTTTGGAATGCTGCCTTACTTTATGTTGCCCATAATTAAACCATGGGAAGAAAGGGGGGCATTAAATTAACCAAAAGCCCGCTCTTTAACTACAGACCACAAAAGCAATCACATTCAAAGCTGAAATCAAAATATGAGCTGACATCATCTTCATCATGCAGAGCACAGCCTAACTTTTGAAGCATGAGAGACAGTATGTAGCATCGCTCAATGTTCTGATACAACAAAGTAATGCAAGGACTGCCCTTAAAGGTTGCAATTTTAACTATTATTTTGACAAATGCATAGTTTAGTTGCATTAAAAGGGAAAGAGCTACTGCTGCTGGGGAATGCACAGCAGCTGAATCTAACTGTTGTGTCTATCATGTCTAAGTACCATGTCTGTACACTGATGCACTCCCAGAATACAGGGACATTCCCCTGGTGAGGGGTGGGCCCCCTTGGTCAATCAGTGGTGAGGGGTGGGGCTGCTGCCTCCCCCATGAATCAGCAGCAAGGTGTGGGGCTACCACAAAAAGGCCACTTCCCTCCCTCCCTGGCTAGGAGTTCTGCTTCTCCTGGCTGTACCCTACCTCTAGCTACAGCTAATAGAATGAAGAGGACAAATGATTGACATATATTTCCACCAGTGAACTGGAAAACAGGACTTTTTGCGCTTGGTTCCTCATTTAGAAATAGACAATGGATCAAGGTTTAAAAGCAGGGCAGTCCGGTATAAAGCAGGACCAATGGCTACCCTAGGTCTACGTGATCCCATGGCAATTCAAGTCAGCTAAATAACCCCAGCTTTGACCCTGAATGAAACAGAATTAAACCTGAAATGGTTTTGCTGAACTTGCATCTTTGCTGCACTATACAATCATGCAGACCTAACAGTTGTATCGAAACAGCTTGGGTTAGTATTCTTTGTAATCATTGCAATTGTTATGTCTGTCTATACCCTTGAATTACTACTTGAAAGAGGCTAAACTCACTCTTAAGAATGTGAGTTTTTCTTGCCTAGAGATATCACATCAGTAGTAAGAAAAACAAATTAGCTCTTAGCTGAAAAGATTCAAGAGCACCAGCAAACCTGAGGACTAGTTTGGATGGTGGCTCCCAACAGGTAACAGCTTTTAAAAGAACAGATAAGGCCAAAATATTTGATCCTGAAATGAATGATGTGGAGTGTTCCATTTGTAACAAGGTGGCTGCATTTGGATGACTGGAAATGGAAAAGGTATTACTAACTGGGTAGGCAGCAGGTTGCAGTCCTGTTCTCCACTCCTATAACTGACAGTGAGCAAGGTGAGGCAGAGAATAGGAAAGGAGGAACCCATCATGGCAGAAGAGTTTGGATCTTTTAATAAGTGAAAAGGCAGGAGAGGTGACTCAGCCAGTTAACCGGATGAAAGATTTCCACTCACTTTAGCAGGCTTGATGGCTTTTCTACAAGTCCTGTATGAGCGGGGGAGGGGTGGCAATAATGATGGGGAAAAGTAGCAACTAATAAATAGCTCAAAGACTAAAGGAGGCTGACAGACTATATAAGAAGTATCTCCCAATATCAGCAGTGGGGTGTTGGGATAAAGTCAAAAGAGCCAACCATCCACTCCAGCTGTGGGAGGGATGTTATGATTTGTCTGGAAAGGGAACAGCAGCAAGAGACTCTCATACAAGACATTTCATTGAATTGTCCAGGAAAAGTCTATTGAGGGGTTTGTAAAATGAATCATCACCACCTGTGAGCAATAACTAGGCCAGCAGACAAAGTCAGTTGCAGAACAGAACATCTGGGTAGAGGATTAGAGGGCTGGGAAACAGGATTTACAAGGAAGGCTGAAAAACTCAGATTACTTAGTTTGAAGAAGAGAAGATTGAATGGGGATTTGATACCAGACTTCTGATGCCTGAAGGTTGGTTATAAAGAGGATGGAGATAGATTATTCTCTGTAGCTGCACACATAGGACAGGGAAGCAAGAGTTTTAAAATTGCAGCAAGGGAAATTTAGGTTGGATACTAGAAAGAACTCTCTCACCATGAAGGTGGTTAAGCACTGGATCAGGCTACCCACAGAGGTTGCAGCATCTCCATCCTTTGTAAGTTTTTAAGGGCAGGTTAAGCAAACACTTGACTAGGATGGTTTAGACAAGGACAATCCTGCCCTGAGCAGCAGGCTGTACTTAGTGACCTTTTGAAGAACCTTCCAGGCCTATTTTTCTATGATTCTAGCTGAGATTGAGTGATGTGTAAGGATGAATATAGAGGAAACAGACCAAGAGCAGCATGCACATCCCGTATCGTAACTCACCAGGTTACTGATTATGGTATATACTAAATTACACAGTTTGAGAATGCCAAGCAAACATTAGGCAAATACAAACACCACATGGAGAGACTTCGCTAATACATACAGACCTAAAAAAAAGAAATAAAAGGAATCATAGGACTAGTGCTCTTACTACCCTTAGACAGCAAGATTCAAAGGGACATCCCATGTAAGAAAACCTAAGAAAACGTATCTTTCTCTACTGGATTTTTCTTCATTCTCCTTTTTTGTTTATCTATTTATTTCTAAACAGCTAAGTAAAATAATGAACTAAAATAGATAGCCCATTTGATAAGTATTGCTGATATACATGGATGTCTAAGATCATTACTATCCCATTTTTTTCTCCTGCCGGATTTCCTCTCTGGCATTCAAGTCAGAAATCTTTGTTTTAAATGCCTTGGGGAATCTGGCTTATAAACACTAAGTTATTTTTGGCCCCAAAGCACCAAGGTGAAGAATATAAGGATTTTTTCTACCGGTTTGGAAGCCTTTCAGATCAATGCGGATCAATAGATTAAAGCTAAACTGTTTGTTTGGCCTAAACAAAATTTCATATGTTATCTTGAGATATTTTAAATACACAATACCTAACTATGATTGCCTAAAGCCTGAGAACCCAACTTCATAGAATATATTTGAAAATGTGTCTCAGCAAAACACCCGATATCAGTTTCTATGTCTATCTCTTCACTGCAGAAAATTACCTTGGGTTACTGGTACCTGGGATTGCCTATTTCAGAAAACTACTGTTCAGAACCATATCTGAGTTAATGTGAACCCTATGATACTATGGTCATGCAAGTATACTGAAGGATTTTGGAGGGCATAGTTCATGTTCTTTGTGCTCCTGAGATGTTTTTCCTTGTGAGCTATAGGAGAATTTGGTCCATCTAGGCACACGGGCAAAACTGAGAAAAAGGCATTTTGGAGGACTATCAGCTCTCAAGTGATTTAGCTGGCATCTTCCAGCCAAGCCAGCTGACTGGCTTTAAAGCACTGCCAGACTTAGGCAAGAGATCTCTGTTCATAGATGAGGGGGGAAATATTGGGGGCAATATCCTAAGAACCTGAGAAAACGATAAGTGAAGACATACCATACATTTGAAAATGGAATGTTAGATGCAAAAGCGTACATTTTTTCTGTATAAACTTGGCACAGGTATAACTACTAGTGCAAACCCATCAGTGAGTGTGTACAAAACTGCCATCACACATTCAGAGACTAAGTCAAAGTCTCTGTGATACTGTATTTATGTATTATGCTTCTCAGCCAAGTTCTGCAAATGGTTATGAAAAAGCATACTCACATTTAAAATAAGCTCCAAGTGTAACCCATTGTAGGTCCCGTTTTTTGGTTACTTGTTTGTGGAGTACATAGTAGCATGGGGCCTTGACCTATCACTGAGTTCCTGGCTATCATCATGATACAAAATAAAAGTAATAATACACATGAGAAAAAAGGACTGAGTAGCAGCAAATACTTGGAGGATTTAGCCAAATGTTTGTTAAGGTGCCAGATATATTTATGGCACTATATATATGGCTATATATAAAGCATCTATACATACATATATGTATAGATGCTTTAAATAATAATAACATCAACCTTATACGTGGAGCGGAGTCCCTAAAGGCAGACAAGTAGTTATTCTGTGAGAAAACTGTTGGTCTGACTTCCAGAGACTTGCTGCTCCCATTGATATTAATCAGAGCTGTCTGTTTTCAGCCCCTCTGAAACTAATGTCATCAGGCTATGAAGATGTACAGTTAACTTAATTCCAGGTAAACTAAGATTCTTGTGGCTGGCAAAAGGGCTTAACAGGTATGATAACATCAATGTTAAGTACTGCTTCTTTCTACTTATCTGGCTCTGTGAAAGGACTCTGAGGAGTAAGAAAACACATAGAAATGTTCAAACCACAGAACAAAAGAACAAAGCAGAATAAGAGAGATGTTACACAGCAATCATGGAGCCACACAATCACACACATGCACTGTACCATGATCTCTCATACTTGTTGCAGAAGAGGGAGTGCTGCAACTCAGCAACCAGTCTGCAGTATTTAAAACAGTCATGTTGTCTCCTGAGAATGGGAATGGTACAATGATTCATTGTCTAAAAGTCTGCTCAATGCACATGAATATTCTTCAATACAAGTAAGTGCTTTTGCACTTTGAGCCAAGTCTTTTTAACTGAACCGGATTGCTTTTGTATTATTTTAGCTGGTGTATTTATGTAAGTATAACACATAAAAATAACGATTAGTGCTTTTAAAGGTATTTTTCTAGTTTTCAACTCTTATTCTAGAATATTTATACTTGTATATGTAACTATGTTGAATCTAAAAGACCTTTCTACAGGGGTCTAGTCCCTTCATACTCAAATGTAAATTTTCACTGACATGGAAATAATTTTTTGAATAGAAACAAGTGAATAAAACTGTATATCATAGGACAAAAGAGCTGAACTATAAAGATGTTGGTTTAAAGTCTTAAAACACAAGAGAAGGGTTTGTTAATGTACAACTTGGAAAAGGCAAAGGAGAAATCTTGGCTCTAATAAAGTCAGAGGTACAAATCTCATGGGGATCAGTAGGGCCTGCATTTCATTCCTGAGTCTGATACTCTTATTCCCACAGCATAATATTGCATTTAGACCAATCACTAGGGCAAGGGTATCAGAATCTGTCCTTCACATAGAATGCATTGCTAGAGCTAGACTTTCTCTAAACTATAATGTCTTTATGGCAGGATACAGAACAACAATCATTTTTTTTTATTATATGGTAAAGGCTTGCTATAGCTTACAACCATTATTTATGTTACGCATTCCGTACTTGCAGACAACTGAAATTAGCATGTGCACCATGTGACTAAAGTATCTAAATCAAGACTTGTAGAAATGTTGATGTACTCTTTTCAAAGTTTACAGCTTTTAAATGAACCCAGGTGTGCAGCAGGATTGTATAGTATATTATTTGTCAATGATATATTATCAGAAAGAAAATATATCTTAATTCAGATCAACAAACATAACAGACATTATAGAAAATTAAAGTCTCCTTTAAACCAAATAATTCCAGAAATTAACTCTTTTTTAACAGTCTTGACTATTAAATATCAATGGGCCTCCCCTCACTCACCCTGTGTACATCCAAAGAAGCCAGCAAAGTTATATTTGAGTTCAACTGACTTACCGTAAGAGATAAGGGAACTCAGGCCTAATGCCTTTTCTTATTCAGTTTCAAATTGTTACATAGAATTAAACAGTAAAAAGCACAACATAAAATTGTTCTACTGTTGTTCATATTTTTGCTGAGATCTGACAGATATACTAGCCTTACACTCAACACTTAGTTGAAATGCTAATTTAAAGCTAGCCAGTATTAAACTGTAGCAAATTTCTGTCGCTCCATGATGTCTCATACTTACCTCCTGTTCCATTTGTTGTAACAGATGTGCTGCTGAGATTAGATTTATCCAGTTTGGAGCTACCTGAAGTATCACTACTTCCCACAAGATTATGAGGGCTTGCTAGATCCTGCATTTCCATAGACCTGTTAGAAAAGGAAGAAGTGCTATTATTTGCATTATGGTAGTGCCTAGAAGCCTTGGGCTTTCAGTGTGCACAGTACTGTACACAACAACTTTTTATAAAATGAGACTATAAAGGCAAATTTCAGAATTGCAATTTAAACATATCCCCTAAACAGTTAATTTTTTGTAAACCAAAAACTTATTTATTCAATGTTGCCTAATGAGATACCCATAAGGAAGACATTTTTACTTTCAAATAATTACTTTATGAAATCTCAGCCAATCTGACCTGAAAATGTAGTGGTATGTTCAAAGCAACTGACTACATACTGATAGGGGAAAACAGATTTATTCACAGTCAGAAGAACTGGAATTACATAGCTCGAAGAAGAGAAGACCGAGAGGAGATGTGATAACAGGCTTCAAATAGAGAAGAAGTTATGCTATAAAGAGGTTGATGAGAGACTATTCTCTGTGTCCACAGGGGACAAGACAAATAACTTTAAAATGCAGAAAGGAAAATGTAGGCTGGATAGTAGGAAGAACTGTCAAATGATGAGAGTGGTTAGGAACTGGAACAGGCTACTTAGGAAAGATGTGGAATGTTCCTCATTGGAGATTTGTAAAAACTGATTTGTCGAACACGTGGCTGGAATGGTTTAGAAAATGATGATCCTGCCGTGAGCAGGTAGT